CAGCACTAATTATTACAGATTTCATTTATTGAGAGAGTCTTTTTGGTCAAGATTATTGATTGAAGACATTAAAATGATAGGCGTCGGAGGAACCACAATGTTTAAACAATTATTCTTTATATAATTTTGTTTCTCTCATCATTTTCTTTTTATTTTTCTTGTTTGTTGTAATTAATTAATTAATTAGCCAGAAGTTGGTAAGCAGTGTTAATTAGGTGACGTAACTAATCACTATGCATGTTTCCATTTTAATTAAATTCGTGACAACACACGTCGAGTGATTCTTAATTAGTATTTTTATAATCACACTAAAGCAAAAATGTCACACCCTATCATTTCATTTGCTTGCCATTATATTGCTTCATTCACTCATTAACTATTTCAAACGCATGCTCAGAATATTTCATTTTTATGAATAATCTTTAGAATTGTGAGTTAATTATATGACTATGTCTATATGACCATGATACATATATCTTAAATTTTTAGTACCTTTTCTAAAATACAAATATATAATAGGATACTTTATACAGGATTTTATTAAAAACTAAATGTACACTTATGCTTATAATAATATTTCCAAGGACGATTGAAATTAATTATAAAATCAGTAGATGCATGTTAGTTCAATTGAAAGTTAATCAATGATTGGATAGATTTGATGAAGGTTAGGTTTAGACACTAAGCATGTTGATATATCATAATATTTATTTATACCATTACTGTTAGATCAAACGATCCATTAGTTCCTAATGTTGATGCTTATAGCTAAACCTGCGTACCTAACATATCTTTAAATCAGATTATATATAGGTGATTAAAGGCACTCATTAATTCCAAAATATTATTATAAGCCGGACGGATTTTTTTTTTTATTTAATTAGCTCACGGTTTGTTGAATAGAAATTGGATAAGTAGTTAAGTTGATTTTGTTTTGGATTATTAAAAAATTGCTATAATTTAATTATCATATCAAAAATCGTATTCTAATACAAGAATGTGACATTTGTTAGGTTATACCATAATGTTATGAGATGGATAGATGGATTAATTATGGGGAAATGTCCAATACGCGGCTTATCAAAATGCGTAACGAACAAAAAATCAAATATTAAAAATAAAAAATTAAATTGTTCAGTAAAATTAGCTTAATATGTAAGGTACATAATGATTGAGGATAGTGATCAATACCAAATTTTTATAGTATAATACTGCCCGTCATTCTCACTTGTCTACTTCCAATCATTATTTAAAGATATCACTTAATTTAGTGAACATTATATCACAAAGCAATAAAGATTAATTCACATTATAAGAAGTCAACTCATATTTCTCCTCAGGCCAAAAAAAAAAAGAGGTCATATTTCTCCTATTTCATTTATAAATCTATTTTAACACTTTTGTATTTAAATTACAAAAACTTTAAAATTAATATCTGTTTAAAAATTAAAGAAATTTACTAATTACCCATATTAAATATATTCTTAAAAAAATTCCAAATTTTTTTACCCCCTCTCCAATTCTAAACACAATATTCTTCTAAATATTGGTAGGATTAAAAAAAAAAAGAGTAGTTAAAAGGGTTGTTTGTAATTAATATGTATAAAATTTATGATACTTTTTCAAAAATACCCCTGTTATTTAATAATTAGAATTTACTGTGCAGAGAAAAAAATGCTCTCTAATGATTAATATATGAGAAACAAGAGAGAAATTGAATAATCTATTTAAAACCAGGCTAAAACTCTCAATTAGATGTTATATTTGAAATTGGAGGGAGCACATCAATATTTTTTTGCCTTATGTAATGGTAAAAGTTAATCAATGATTGGATAGATTTGATTAATTTTTTTCAAAATTTATCATAATTAAATATAATGATATGTACAATTTTGAATAATTTTTTTATGATATAATTATTTATTAGGGATATATTTGAAAACATCTATTAATTCTTCTCAAAACTATGAAAATGATGTTATAAAAAGAAATACTCCTCCGGTCCTTAATATAGAATCTAATTGTTGAATTAGTTTTGGTCCTAAATATAAGAGTCATTTATCATATATATCAATTTCTCTAAATTATCTATATGGATACTCTTTCAACCATAATTAAGTAAAAGAGGAAGAGGGGATATTAAGAAAGACGATTATGGTATTTTAAGAAAAACGTGTCTCATTTCTTATAATTAACTAACTTATCCAACTTCCTTAATTTAATCAAATTATTTAAATAGGTCTTATATCAAGGACCGGAAGAATAGTACTATTCCTCTCAAAAACAGAGTTTTACAAAAATGGATGAAAAGAAAGTGTAGATACTCCTCCGATCCTAAATACAAGACCCTTATATAAGGGTCTTGTATTTAGAATTGGAGGATATTCATTTTTATATGAACACTAATATTAATAATTATAATGAGGGGGTTATTATCTCTTTTTTTTTTTGGCGGAAAATATGATAGGATGTCATTTTCTTGGTTGGTTAAAGAAATATAGTTAAAGTGGCGGGGAGGGTGATAGGATCCGTTTCCAAAGAGAGAGTGATTATGCTGTTTGGGATCGGTCCTTTATTTAGTGGGGCAGTGGTCCCCACTACCTGCCTTAGGTGGCGCTTGTGGGCGCCGCTGTGTTGTTGTTGTGCCTCCCCCTCCTCCCCTCACTTTTTACCCCAAGCCTACACCCATGCCTCCTTCTTCATCGTGTCCCTCGTCTTTTTTGCTATCTTTCTTTTGTATAGGGAAAATTAGGAAGCAGGATTAATAATAAAATTGAATCTAACTAAAAAAAATTAATTTTTCACAACGTGATAAATTAGTATTTAAATTTTTTAAAAATTTTTTCATATTAAATGTTTGATAGTGCCTCAATTTAAATTACTTCTAATAAAAAAATACTAGTTGTGCGTAGGAAAAAAAGGGGATAAAAAATTTTAAATGATTGAGATGTTTGAGGAAAAAAAAAGGATTTAGAAATATTTAGGAACAATATAAAATAAAACGTGCAGAAAACATGAGATAAATTTTTGTTTTGGCCAAAAACATAAGCTAAAATTCAAAACATGAAAAATTCTTCTATTTATTTGATATATTTCAAATAATGCTTACTTAATATTTAAAAATTACTCGTTCGGTCTTTAATTTAAAACCTATTTAATTAATTTGATTCAATTAAAAAATTAGATAAGTTTCTTAATTGTAAGAAATATAACATGTCATATTTCTATATCAATAGTGATAGTCTAGAAAAAATTGATAAATATGAGAAATAAGTCTTATACTACCTCCAGTTCTTAATATAAGACCTTATTTGACTTTTATTTTGGTCTTAAATATAAGAACCCAATTCATTTTGTCTCTCGTATTTATATTTTTTTTTTCAAGATAATCCTTCTAACAATGATAATTCTAACCAACACACTTAATTAGCAAGGATATTTTAGGAAAGACAATACATATTTATTACAAATAACTAACTTAACTTCTTTCCTTAATCTTCTCAAATTAATCAACTAACTCTTATAATTAATATCAAAAATAATATTTAGGATTAAAATCAACTTAACAATTAAATTATATATTAACAACTGTGCAAGTATTATTCACGTCATGCTCAACCCCGGAGAAAGTGCTTCCCGCTTGGAAAGTGGGGGGTTGATAATCCTGGTTATGTTTTGTATCATCATCATCACCAATATCCAAAACGCGGTCATCATAGACCATAATAGTGTAGGTTTTATTGTTCATAAATTTGTTTGGAATTTATTTCAATAAAATGGTTTTTATTATTTATGTTAAACTAATTTTCACAAATAATGCTATCAAAATAAAAAAATAGTTTTAAATAATTATGCGTTTCATGGGAAAGAGAAATATTTAAAGAAGTATTACATAAAACAACATAGAAAAAGATATAAATCTTGGTGTGCCACACAAAACCTTGCTTGTATAGTTTTATTTGAGTTTAAATCATAATGTAGATGAAAACAAAAATGCGGATGACAACTTTTTTTAAAAAAATTTTATACAACGATTTTAATGTAAAAGTATTAAAAATTTTAAAAATCAAAAAATGGGCATGCAGCCCAAAACCCATTTTATCTTAGAAGAGTTACAATAAAATCCCAAAAAAAAAAAATTACTAAAAAATCTTAATAGCAATCTAAACAATCTATAATGACTAATAACAGGTTTTAGAGTAAAAAATGACAACTTCTGAAACTTATTTTGTAATTATTTTTTTTACCTTATTGTAATTCTCCCTTTTATCTGTGTCTCTTATAGGTTTAAAAAAAAAATCCTTTGTCTCTGTTCACTATATTCTATATTTGCAAGATCAAAATGCTAATATAAATTCTCTTCCCTTAAGAAACATCTGGAATATGTATACAATTAGAAGGAGCCGCCTCCTTTGTGGTCTATAGATGTTGATACAAGCACACATAAATGTTGATGCAAATATATAGAATATAGAAAAAAAAGTTAGTCCTTCTTAACCAACACACCCTATTTTCTCTCACTGTTTTTTTTGGGACCATTATTTAATTTTTCAGGTGAAATCTATTAAATAAGTTATCATAAATATTTATTATTACCTCTGTTTCAAATATAATACATGTTTACCTGATAACTTAATTGTTTTAATTTTTTAATAATGAAAAAAGATAAAAATTATAATAACTATCTACCACCCTTTTATCTCTTCATTCTCCACCTTTCATTCCCTTCTCAGCCATAAATTAGCGAATCACGTGTGTGTTTGTCAACCTTGGTATGCTTTCTTGGTCAAACCTTCCTCTTCTCGTACACACTCACAACAATTTTTATATTTCTCATTATATTTATATAATTAATATTTAAAATTAAACGTCAATTAAAATTCTTTTATATTAAAAAAAAGTGACTATCTGGGTCTTCCCATGATCATCTAAGACTGTCATCAATAATTATAAAGACCCTTTTCAAGGACGCCTTCTCACTCCGAAACCTCCTTTCTTCTTCCTCCGCCTTCTTCCTCCTTTTCTCTATTTATACCTCTCTTCTCTCTGTATTATTGCTTATGCAGACTCTGAGATGGAGCTTGGTTTGAGCTTGGGAGATCATGCTTCAAAGCCTTCTGAAACTTCCAGCCTTCTGGGATTAGGCTTCACCACTTTGTCCATTGGTTCTTTCTGTACCAAAGCATCAAATCAACAACAAGAAGAAGAACCAGAAGAAAAAGAAGCAAAAAAGCAAAAGGGAAACCAGAGCATAGAAGACCATGAAGATAGACCTGAATATGTTCAGCTTGATCTTCTCCCTCACACCCCAGTCGCTGTTTCTCGTACTAACCCACCTTCCCAAATCTCATTTCCATGGCCTCCTTCTGAAAATGGTCAGCACCCACTTGTTAAAGCTTCCAAAAAATGGTTCTTTGACGGTTTAATCTCTGTTTTTGAGACTGAAGGCTCTGTTTTTGTCGTGCAGGCAGTTTTTCTAGGGGCATGGATATGAATAGATTGCCGCCGCCGGCGGCTGCGGAGGAGGATGAGGCGGCGATGTCGTCGTCTCCGAACAGCGCTGCATCGTCGTTTCAGATGGATCTCAGTGTGTTTAACAGAGGAGGGAGTAGTCTTAGTGGCTGTAAGAGAGATTATGACGGAGAGTTATATTATGATCAAAGGGCTGGTTCTTCAAGAGCAAGCGACGAAGATGACAACGTTGGTAGTACGAGGAAGAAGCTAAGGCTGTCCAAGGAACAATCTGCTTTTCTCGAGGAGAGCTTCAAAGAACACAGCACCCTCAACCCAGTAAGTATCTAAAACTAAAAGAAGCTCATAAACCGATCACTCTCCTGCGCATGCCGTATCTATTAAATTTCCTCTAAATTTCCTCCTCGAATTTATGGTGCAGAAACAAAAACTTGCTCTTGCCAAACAGCTCAATCTTCGCCCTCGCCAAGTAGAAGTCTGGTTCCAAAACAGAAGAGCAAGGTATATTTTATATATGCGCGCACACATATATCAGGATAGCCTTGGAAAAAATTGTTCGTCAAGAAAAGAACTTTTTGTGCTGGGGATAACCAAAATGGTTTTCTGGGTTTTGGACGTGCAGGACGAAGTTGAAGCAGACAGAGGTAGATTGTGAGTACTTGAAGAGGTGTTGTGAGACATTAACTGAAGAGAACAGAAGGCTTCACAAAGAGCTTCAAGAACTGCGAGCTTTGAAGACTAATTCAAACCCATTCTTCATGCAATTACCGGCCACTACTTTGACCATGTGTCCCTCTTGTGAGCGAGTCGCCACTAACAATTCCTCCACCATCACTACCACCGTCGCCGCCGCCGTCACCACGGTTGCTACTTCCTCTGCAAGTCCTTCTGGGAACAAAGTCACTGAAACAAGAGCCGCCATCGAACCTGCCTCATCCAAAGCCACCGGATTCCCTCTGAGCAAGCCAAAGTTCTATCCTTTTGCTCACACCAAAACCCACCATCGCCATCCCCACCCATCCACACCCTCTTGAACTCTGATTTTGTGGTGCAGGCAGAATCTTGAGCTCCTGAGAAGTAGAGATTTGATCAGACGAGTTCAAGTATATCGAGTGCTGCTGAATGGTGGAGGAGTTGATGATCTTCTTAAAGGATTTATTCTGTACATATGGATGTTCTCTGATGATGATGAGAAACTGATAGCTTTTTTGGGTTCCCTTGGAGTTTTGATATTGATTGGGTTTTCCTTCTTCTGTTAATTTTAGTTGTTGTCACTTTGATTACACCATGTTTCTGGGTTTTCATCAGATGTAAAAGAGAAAGAGAATTATAGACAGAAATGATAGAGAAAGGGAATGAATACGCGTTATGGATCTTATACTGATACATAAATATATATAATATGATATATATATATATATATATCTGTATTAATCGGCTGGGTAGAGAGATGAAGATTCAGTATATTGAGATCAAAATCTGCGAAAATATTATAACTGGGAAGAAGTATTATAATGAATTAGGTGATTAAGTGGGAAGAAATAGAGAAGGTAGGTGGGGGGTCTAAGGTCATAAGGGTGAGGTTCAAGGCTGCTTTTCAGAAAGAGGACGACTTTAATTCATGAAATGCCTTACTTTTTAATCATTTCATTCTTCTTAAAGGCGTGAACCTACACGAAGGCCTCAATCATTCGTCATGAGGACACTTTAAGGGCATGGCCGCTTCGTTCGCTTATGCTACGTCAAAAAGTATGAGATCCATATAATGAAAATCACACTTCATGACCCCACACTTTCATGAAATTAATCATGTGTCACTATAGTATCTTTACATCACTATGGAAGTCTCTCCCAATTTCATTCTAATTAAGTAAAATGTATATATAATAAATATATATATACACAATTTCTTTCTCTGTCTCTAAATATGATGCATAATTTTTGTTTACCTTCTTTTTAGTTTAGAAATTTTGTGATGTTTCGAGAGATCTTTCTGATCTCTATCTTTTAATAAATGATATTTTGAAAGACACCCTTATTTAATTTAGGACAAATTTGAAAAGAACATAAAATTTTAAGAAAGTTGGTGAAAAAATCTCTAAAATTTTTTTTGGCTGGAACAACTAGAATTCAAGTACCGATACTTTTTATGTATGAAATCTTGCATAGTACTACTAGTCTGATACTTTACGTTTCTTCTGATTAATAAAATTTCTAAACCAAAGTTTTGGACTGGTTTTTCCTAATTTCTTTTGGAAAAAAAAGAAGAAGCAAACTTTGTATGTGTTTTTGGCAATTATTCATGAATTAATTAGGAAGAATACTTGAGTAGATGTCATTGTTGAAAATGGGAAGGAGTTGCATGAGAAATGGTTAAAAGTGGGACATGTGGAGGGGCAAAGTCATAAACATGTCTGATAAAGAAGGCTGTCCTTTTGGAACCCCAATTATGAGGGCATGAAGCTGTGAAGTACACTTTTCATTATTTATTACAGTTAATCAATCACTGTGTCTATCCATCACTTTAATTTGCATTTATTTATTTATTTATAACATATATCCTCCATCTTGTCGTTGTTACTCCCAAAATAAGTGATTTTAGTGTTTTTTTTAATTTAAATTTTACATGTCATTTCAGAAATTTGATGTAACATTTATTGTAGGTTATTAAATGCCACTTTTTCTCCCCCTAAAATTCCTTCATTAAATAAAACATGGGAGAAAACAAATGTGAAAATGTCATGTTTTGCTATAAGTTTAATTAGCTTAACTAATTTTATTAGTCTATAAGGTTACTCTAATTTTTCAATTATATCTTTATCGCTGATTGAACACGATTCTCAACTACGGAAACCAAGCTAGATTTAATAAGAACATGCTAGAAAAGTTATACCTTTATCTTATTTATTTAATGATGCTGTTAAGAAAATTAACTAATAGCTTATTAATTGATTGGAGGTTCATTTAAATTTTTAATGAAGCATACAAAAAATTAGTGAATGCATAAGACAAGATGTATTTGCTTTTTCATAAATAGGACCACAAAAAGAATATTCTCAAAAAAAATTTTATAAAAAGGAACTAAGGGAATATATTGTTGCACCAATAAAACGGCATTTTCCCCCAAAAAAAATATTTGATTGATTTTCGAAACAGCCATTAAAAAAAAAGTCACAATCCATGAATCATGAGTACAAGTGTGCTACATCAATATATGCTTTTCTGAGTTTTTTGACCAAATTAAGAAATATTTAATTCAAATTATATTTCCTAATCACAAAAGGCAGGTTTGAATTTTAATGGAGAAGTTAATCGGTTGTATTATTATATTCTCTAATGTCGACCTTTTGGGGATCCTTATTCATGTTGCGATGATTAATTCCACTTTAAATCAGTTTAAAAATATTTTTATCGCCGTATACTAAAAACTAAAATAATCAACTGACTTATTTTTTTTTTCCGTCACGAGAGGTTCAATAAAATCCACCAGGAGTCCAAGACGTCTCTATTCTTTATTTCTTTGCACATTAAGAAATTATTAATTTACAAAATACAAAATAAATAAATTATACTCACATAATCCATTAGTGGCCCCAGTGTTCGAGCATGTCTGCAAGATATTAATAATTAATAATAAATTATAATCGATTAAAATTATTTAATTGATTCCTGTATCCGTACAAACGTTAAGTAGACGATGAGGGTTTAGACTATAAATATAAATAATATATACGATAGCAAGCAAGCACGATGAGATAAAATAATTAATCATTTAATCTTTTTATTTTAATTAATCTCCGTTTGTGTCATTTTATATTTGCAAGAAATAGTTGAAATTTGAACCATGATAATTGCGCTATGCTTCAGATTTAAGTTTACATATGAAATTATTTACTGCTGAAAAAAGGCATGTTAATTTAATCCAATCATGTGATATAAATAATTACGTCAGGCATGATGCGATTTTTTCCTTAGGAAATAATTAATTATATCCATCTTAATCAAATTGACTTTTCTCTCACTTTCTTTTTCTTTCCTAAACCAAATTTTCAGCTTTTCCTAAATCATAGGGTTTAGGTATTTAGAGATAATCAGCAGGTTTAAAAAGAAATTAGACCAAAAAAACTTCAGAATATATCAAAGACAGAGCATAGGTGCATGCACATATAATACTACCTCTGGTCCTAATTATAAGAACTAGTTAACTAATTTGAAGAGATTAAGGAAATAAGTTAAGTTAGTTATTTGTAATAAATAAGTATTGTCTTTCCTAAAATATCTTTGCTAATCAACTATATTAGCTAGAACTGCACTGTTAAAAAGACTACCTTGAAAAAAACATATAAATATGAGAGACAAAGTGGATTGGGATTTTATACTTGTGATCAAAATAAAAGTCAAACAAGGTCTTATAGTAAGAATCGAAAGTAGTACAACACATGCCGTACGTTTTGATGAATTCACATATTTATATTTTATTTATTTTCATTATATTTTTATTCTCAGAAAATTAAAGAAACTCGGATTCATGTTTTTGTTGATTATCTGAGATAAACATGTTGGATAGTGTTTTAGAAACGTGGGAAGAGAAAGAAAAATAGAAGAGCGAAATGAATAAAGAATATTAGGAATAAGACAAAGACATATAATTTTGTGACGTGTAACACACACCAGAGAAAAAATTACACAGTATATACAACAACTAAATTTTTAGGTAAATTATTAATCGCGAGATGTTGCCAAATAATTTTATCAAGTATTGTCTTTATTTTTTTTGGCCAAATCTTTATCTTTATTTTAAAAGACTCCTTATTCATATTGCAAAATTATACCATCTCTAATTTTTAATATAAGATATAGTTTGTAATGTGTTTATAGTGCAAATTGTTCTGTAAACTAAATTTTATATTAAAAATTGGAGGTAGCATATGTGTCTATATATATGAAATAAAAAAACACACTACCTCCGATTATAAATATAAGAACTAGTTAAAAATTTAATTTGATTACAAATATAAGACCCTAATTGATTTTGTCTCACATATTTATTTATTTAAGTATTTTTTATACAGATTGTATATTTTAAAGTATTTTCATTCTAATACGCATAATTAATAAAAATATTTTAGAAAAGATAATATTTGTTTTTAAAAACAATTAACTTAAATAATATTTTTTAATATTTGTTAATGAATTATTTAATTCTTATATTAAAAAACCAGATAACATAAATGCATGAATGAATGCATGCGTGTTTGAATTGCCCATGTTAAGGCATGCGAGTTAATGTCGCACATTACAAAAGAAAGGCACACAACACATGGCATGGAAAAAGGCAGAAAAGTTTGAAAATCGATGTGAATAATAATTAATAAAACATAGGGAAAATGATATAATTAATGCAGAGATTAGGATTAGCAACCACCAACATGGGGACCCCATTTTCCACAAGGATCCTCGTTGGAACTCCAAAGCCAAATCCAAAAAGCTTGACATCACCTCTCTATGCAAACTTACAAACTTCAACTCATCCCATTATTGCATTTCACGCCATTACCCTCTCATTTTATTCAACCTTTCCTCTCCTTTCACGTTTCAATTCCTCACTCCTGCCTTTTATTCCTAATCAACATGTTACTCTTCGGAAGGGTGGTTTTTTTTTTTCCCCCTCTCAACATAACTCACCTCATTAAATTTATTATGTAATTACATACTATTTTATTCCTAATTTATTGTTCTATAGACTATTTCTTTCTTAAAAAGCATATTAAACAAAGATAAAATTAAGAAGATTAAATTTTAAGATAAAGGTAATGGGATTTAAGGTTATTCTTAATTAATTTTGGTTAAACATCTTAAAAGTGTTGTATATACAAGGTTAAGATCTAATTTAGGCCCGAAAGTTTTTACTTGAAAATAATTTTGCTCGGTAAGTTTGTTTAGATTTAATGTTATCCTAAAAGTTTAAAAATGCATCAATATTGTCCCAGCCTGTTAACAAAGTTTAAAAAAGGCATCCCTAGTCGCTTCAGCATAAATTGGTCAATAAACGGTCAAAATTAATATTGTTAATGTTAAACTTCCGAGCCAACATTACTTTTTAGCGGAAACTTTTAGAATAAAATTCAATATTAACCCTAAATAAAATAAATTGAGTTAAAAATTACATAAAAGTGAAAAGACCGTAAACTCAATGTCTGAAATGCTGGTGTTAAACTCACTTATGTACATTTTTTAATATTTTTATTTTAAAAAGTTATGCAGAGCTTAAATCCTATCCTTACACAAACTCTTATTCAATGCAGAAGTAATAAGAATATTAGTTGATAATTATTTTTTGTGTATATATTAGGCGATAGCAA